TTCAAGCGATTCTACTGCCTCAGCCTCCTGAGTAGCTGGGACTATAGGTACCCACAATGATGCCCAGCTAGTTTTTGTATTTTTAGTAGAGACAGGGTTTCCCCATGTTGACAAGGCTGGTCTTGAACTCCTAACCTCAGGTGATCCACCCACCTCGGCCTCCCAAAGTGCTGGGATTACAGACATAAGCCACTGCATCTGGCCAAAACCAGAGTTGTTTTCAGGACTTCCAAGGCCCTGCTCCCTCTGTGACCTCCTCACATGTCACTCCAGCCTCACTCACTGTGCAATACTCACACTTGCCTTCTTTTAGTCTTTCAGGGATGCCTCAATTTTCTCGTGTCAGGAACTTTGTAACTGTTGTTCTACCCCTCTACCCAGACCCCATAACATCATCCTACCCCTGTCACCTTCCTGAATCCCACTCACCCTTCTGGACTCACCTACAATATCATTTCTATGGGGCTCCTATTAGAGACTTTGTGTATGTGTTTGGTAATATTTGTATGTGAACTTGTAATTTGTATATTGGCACACTGCATTTTCCTCTGCTAAACTTTTTACACTTGTAATTACTTCTTTGAGTTGTTCATTCATCAACTTATACCAAGCAATTGCACGTGCCCAGCACTACTCTAGGCACTGGGTGGCAACACTGAGTAGAAAAGATTCCTATATTCATGGAGCTTCCATCCTTTGTAGGTCTTACTCCACTGTTTGTTTTTAAGTTCATGAGGATAAGGTCATGCATGTTTTGTTTACCATTGTGTTCCAGTGTTTAGCCTATTAGCTCACTGTCTGGTATGTGTGAAACAGTCAAAAAACATTTGCTGACAGTGTGACTGGCATCCTCAAGTTACTACTGTACTGGTCACTTAGTGAGTAAATACAAGTTGAATTAGACAACTGCTTCCAGGCAATTGTGTCCATAGAAAATGGTAATGCTTCAGGTTTGTTTTCATGACTTGCATTTTATTTGACTTTTCTGGTAAGGAACTACTGGTCTTCTTATGTCTGTTATGATGAATATAAATGAGTAAATATACATGAGAAACAACTTCAGAGTGAAAAAGAATATTAAGGAAATTGGGCAGGTTATCTAATAGAAACAGAAGGGATCTAGGTCACATTATGTTGGATGGTTAGAAAAGTCCTCCTAAAGGAAGGAGAAATTTGAGCTGAGATCTGAGTGTGAAGAAAGAGCAGCCAGCTCTGCAAAAATCCAGGGCCAAGTTTTCCTGACACAAGGAACAGAATGAGCAAAGGCTCGGCGACAGGGAGGGGGAGAGACCTGGGGGTGGGGGAGGGTGTTTTGAGAAGCATAAAGAAGCCTAGGGTAGCTGAAGTCCAGTAGGCAAGGGAAAATGCTAAAGAGGAGATGGAGAAGTAGCCAGGAGCCTGCTCACAAAGGGTCCAGTAGGCCAAGGTAAGGATTTAAGATTTTATTCTGGTTGTAGTGGGAAGATATTGGGCTTTCAAAAGCACATAATGATCTAGGTTTTCTAAGAAAATAAATGATTTGCTATGTGGCGGATGGGCTACAGTTGTGCCCCTCTTGGCATTAAGACCTCTTAGAATCTCAGAGACCACTACAGGAAAAAGTAAAATAGTTCTAATGTTCAAAACTCTGACCTATTTGGTACTATTATATAATTATAAAGGTGTTCATTAAATTTAGTCCTTTTCGGTAATTTTCAAGGCCTACTAATGACAACTTTCCCATCTTTATAGGACATTGGCTAATCAAAGGGCCATAGCTCTGTTATCAAATTTATTCATTTATGTGCAATCTATTTATTACTGGTCATTGATGAATATGATGAATATAATCTATCTGATGGACATTAAAAAAAATGCAACAGGGTAACATCTGATAAATGTCTCCCTTCAACTGCTACAAAAAGTACAACATTGTCACCAGACCCCTGCCTTTTGAAACTCACTGATGCATTTTACATTTGTCAAATTCATTATTTATGAGCAGTGAGCTATACAATAGAAGCAAGTCACCCACAGGGACACATCTGCCTGCCTGATATTTGAAAGGGTTTATCTCCAAGGAAAGAGGGCTTCAGCTTTTTTATCATGTCAGTTAAAAAATGTACTGATGTATTTTTAGGCTGGAAACTTCTTCTTAAAGCATGAGATAATGACTTTGCTAAATCCTATTCAAAACAAAGACACACCCAAAAGCTATGGAAGCACTGAAACCACGTTACTATTTCTCAAATTAACGAGAAAGACTGCTGGACTAGATGAAAACAGGCCTCTCGTTAAGGCTTCCCATGCGAATATGCCAGGATGCATTTTTCATTAGAAGACATCGTGGTATGAACCAGTTTACCTTTTAGAAGCTGGATTCGCAGACAGCAGTAACAGTAACTATAAATAGCCAAGAGCACTAAGAAATCTTTTGAGGTAGCAGTAGCACCATGGTCATTGTCACCCTACCATATACTACTGCTTCAGCATTGGCGAAGGAGCAGAGAGCTAACCTTAGAGAAAGCCTAAACAGTAAATTCAGGGCACTAGCAGCCAGAAGGGAACAGGATTCAAAACCCTGTTCCTACCCGGGTCTGGGAGCTCTTACTTGCCCCTTGTTGAAAGCACCGTGCCCAGTCTGAGGTTGTGGCAGGCTTCAGAACTGCTACTGCTGAATTGGTGGTGGGAGGCCTCCTTCAGCTGAAGGAGGTTCAGGACCCCTGATACAGCCAAGAGGATGAGGCAGGTGCCTGAAGGAGCCCTGGGAGATGGGCAAAGTGCTGGGGCAAGAGGACCTTGTGGGTCTATTTATCGGGCAATTTTAACAGTTTGCTTTGATAATGTCTCCTTGCCAATTTGTCCTAAAGTCTACAATACTTTACCTGAAAAACCTGAGCTCCAGTTTTGGTCATATTTGTTAAAGGACCTTCCTCAAAGGGCAGCTGCTGGATAGCACTGTGGGGAGGACAGGAGTTGCAGGAGGTGAAATGTATACCCGCTGCACCTGAAATAACATGAAGTCCATCAGCCCCGTGAGCCATTATAGACTGATCAGTGCAGCCAGATTCCATAGCTATTTAAAGAGTTAACATGTTTTCGGGCTAAAGAAACTTCATGGGCCCCAAAGTGTCAACTCTTTGAGGTGACTGAGAAACAATGGCCAAAAAGTCCACCTCAGCAGCAAGCCCAGGAACCTACCACTGATCTTGCCTGTAGAAAAGGACTTAAGGCCACTGGGGTCTTTCTTTCTGGGAGCCTCCATTATTTATCGATATGTGTAGCTTCTAATATGGGAGAGAAACACAGCAGCTACTTTGCAGAAATATGGTACTCACAATATTTTTAGCAATAATATTGGTGAATATTTATTGAACATTTTCTACATGCAAAGTCCCATGCATTATCCCATTAAGACCTTACAGCAACCTGAAGACCTAGGTTTCCTGAGGTTACAGGGGAGGAAATAAGGTTAACAGACTGAGGAGTAAAGAGGAAAGGCAAACAGAATCCACCTTTATATACTGGGCTGAAAGTTAAACGTTGAAGACATTGAATTATATTGGTCTGCTCATTTGTTAACTATACAACTACAAAGTTAGTTGGCATACTCTAATACTCTTATTTTCTTTCTCCTTCTCTTCTTAGCCAATGAGACTTTTATCTTTAAAAGACATACCATACATACATACACACATACACACTCAACATTCACCAGACACACAAATTATTGAATCATATGAACCATCTCATCTGTCTTACCTTATTATGGAAGGTTCTTACCATTGGCACAGATCTTTTTAGTTTTAGTAGATCATAAGTCAAATTCTAGACATGAGTCAAATTATTCAAGACAAGACCATGAGTCACAATATTCAAGACACAATGAGAAAGTAGCAAAGCCATGACTTGAAATCTCTCTATTTCATCCATGCAGGATTTCTTTTGCAGGGACCTCATGCTTTGGTGTCATAGAGAAACTAAACCTTTTGCTTCTTTAAATTATCCTTTCCCCCCCCTTTCATGCTGTCATTGAATACATTCATGTTTGTGTTTTATGGAAAGGCATGCATATATGTGTCCAGAATGCTCCTATCAGAGATGTCTCTGGCATAGTGGAAAAAAAAAAAAGCAATGGAGCCAGAAGGACCTACTATGGAGCTTCATAAGCTGTGACATGTGCAACATTTGTAACTTCTCCGAGCCTCAGTTTCCTCATTTGGAAAACAGGCAAAAGGCTGTTTTGCCTGTCATGGTGGTGGCGGGGAAAGGCTGTCATGAGAGGTAAGGTAGCAATGTAAGGCACCTAACTAACCCAGAGTAGACAAGAAATGGTAGACATCATTATTACAGTAACGGCCTAAAATGAAACCTAGATAGGACAAAATCTGCTTAACAAGGCAGGTATGAGATCAGTCTCTGGCCCTAGCAGTAAAACACATTTCATTTAGTATAAGATAATCTATAAATCCCATTCAGAAATGAATCTGTCCACAGGGGGCAACATATATCCACCCATCTGTAGGTTGAAGCAATGTGGCCACGTCTCTTTAATGCTGACTGATGGTTGACCACATCACAGTGCCCTTGTCATGGGGCTCACTTAATGCTGAATTCAATTATCTATGTAGATGGAAAGAGCAGAGTCATAGACAATAATTCTGAAGAACAAATTCTTTCTAAACAATCCATTCGATTTTTTTTTCCATAATAGCTACCTTACAGTATTACTTGGGTCTTGGCTGGTGCTTGGGATTCTCTAAGAATATGTATCAATCGATGATGGGAAGAAACTCATGACTGCTCTGATCCAGATATTATAGAAAGCTCTCCTAAGCTTGAATATTTGTTGCATAAAATTTGCAAGGTGACCATCTGGTGGTGGTCCACCACACTCTAATGTGCAGCACAACAATTATAAAATATTCTTGGGGATGGATAACATGGGGAGAAATGCCAGATGATGGGAGTATGGAGGCAGCAAACCACATTGCCATGTATGTACCTATGCAACAATCCTACATGATCTGCACATATATCCCAGAACCTAAATTACAATAAAAAATATATAAAAAATAAAATATTCGTTCAATTTAAAAATTTTCTTTGTGTACATCAAGTCCCACCAGTTACATGTCTAGCCTCAATTAGCTCATTAGGTTAGTGTGAACATAGTGCTAAGGAAATCAGAAGATTCATCTTTTTTCAGAGACCAATTAGCATCTGTCCTTCGGTGATTCCAAAAAGTGTGTGATAAGGAGATCACATAACTGTGAATACTGATGTGAAATGCCATCAGTATAGGTGGATAAATGTCATAAACAGCAGTCCTCAACTTTTATGGCACCAGGGATGTTTCCTGGAAGACAATTTTTCCATGGCAGGGTGGGGGTTGGTTTCAGGTTGAAACTGTTCCACCTCAGATCATCAGGTATTAGTTAGATTCTCTAGACTAATTCTCATTAGTCTAGATCCCTCGCATGTGCAGCTCACAATAGGGTCCATGCTCCTGTGAGAATCTAATGCCACCGCTGACCTGACAGGAGGTTGAGATCAAGCAGTAATGCTCGATCACCAGCCACTCACCTCCTGCTGTGCGATCTGGCTCATGACTTCCACCAACAAATATAATGTCTTTTCTACCTTAACCAAGCACTTATCATGTACTGTGGCCATAACTTTTGCAGTTTGAGAGGCAACAAGAAAAGAGGCATAAATTTCTTTTTACTTCACAATTTCACAGACAGAAGATTCATACCCTAGATGTGAGCCACCTTAGTATACAATTTTTTTCTTTCCTTAAGTCAAAAATGTTCACCTTTTCGCTTAAAGGAAGCACTTCATGGCCTCTCTTTGGCATATTTGAATTGCTGGCATCACTACTCTTGCACTTTGGAGCCATTATTAAGTAAAATAAGGGTTCTCTGAACACGAGCTCTGTGATACTGCAAAGGTTAACTGACATCCCAGCTAGCTACTAAGTGAGTAATAGCAGGTAGAGTTTATAGCGTGGGGATGCTGGACAAAGGGAAGATTCTTGTCCCAGGCGGGACAGAGCAAGATTTCACTATGGTACTCAGAACAGTGTGCAATTTAAAACTTATGAAACATTTATTTCTGCATTTTTCCATTTAATATTTTCAGACCACAGGTAACTGAAACAGAGAAAATCAGAACCATGGAAAAAAGGGGACTATTGTATCGTGAAATCCTTAATGCAATTTTCACTAGTCTTCTTTCAACTAACATAGTCCAGTGCCTACTAGGTACAAAAGACTCCTTCCCTACCCCAGCAGGGTTCTCAGAGTGCTGTATGGATCCCTAAGGACCCTTTCAAAGGTACACAAAATCCTCTCACTTCCAACCACATACTCCTGTCAGCCCTGACATGAACCAAAACAATAAACCACAATAGACTGAAATGCATAAGCAGATATGAGTCCAGTTGTCTTCTGTTAAACCAGATGTTAAAGAACTTTGCGAAAAGTAAAACAAGATTACTCTCTTTACTCAAAATTTTTTTTATTTTGGGAAATGTAGTTATTTTTCATAAAAAAGTTATTTGTTGGGCCGATTGTGGTGGCTTACACCTGTAATCCCAGCACTTTGAGAAGCCGAGGTGGGCAGGCGGATCATCTGAGGTCAGGAGTTCAACACCAGCCTGGCCAATATGGTGAAACCCCCATCTCTATTAAAAATACAAAACAATTAGCAGGGTGTGGTGGTGGACACCTAAAATCCCAGCTACTTGGGAGGCTGAGGCAGGAGAATCGCTTGAACCTGGGGCAGAGGTAGCAGTGAGCCAAGATCATGCCACCGCACTTCTGGGTGACAGAAGGAGATTTGGTTTCAAAAAAAAAAAAAAGTTATTTGTTAGCATGTAATGGGCTTATTACTTTCTCAATTAATTAATACATATTTTTAAGTTTTCCTAGTTTTAATTTCTAATACAGTTAACCGTTGATAGATATGACCCACATAAATAAAGGATCAGGATTTTCAATAATTTTTAAGAGTATGAAGGGGTTCTGAGACCAAAGAAAATTTGAGAAGCACTGTCGTACATCTGTCTTATTTAAATCTTACAGCATCCTGGTTCCTGTTTCCCACTTTGTCTTCATAGAACTTATCCCTGACATTATATCATATATTTATTTGTGTTTTACCTGTTTTCTCCATATGCCAGTCATTTGCCTACTTACTCTCAGATCCCTTCCCTACCTTTCCTCTGCAAAACGTGTTTCCCAGGTTCCTTTGCTGAAGACCGTGGAAGCTCTGGCAGGAGACTGGAGGAGGGAAGCAGAGAGCCAGGTATTTCTACCTCCCACCCCTTAGGCTTGCTTTCCTCGTCCAAGCCTAAGGTGGCAGTGGCCTCTAGCTCTTGTTATAACATTATACTATTGTTTTGCCAGCCCAGTTCGACTTTGGGCTCTCTCAACACCTTTGTGCTAGTTCTCCGTGTTAGTGCCTTTCGTTGTACCATCTGGCATGGGGCCTGTTTTCCTGCCTGAAATGTAAGCTCCATGAGGTCTGGGGTTTTGCCTGTTCATCTGCCACCATAACCACAATGCGTCAAGTAAATACTTTTTCTCAAATTAACAGCCCTGTGGGATAAGTGTTACTATCATTATTTTATATGTCTGAAAAATAAGGCTCAGGCAGAATTTGCTAGCCGCGCCCCCCAAGTGGGTCTCAACCTCTAGCTTGAATCACAATTATCTACACAGATTTAAAATACAGATTTCTGGGCTACCCCCAGAATTTTTGATTCACTAAATATAGGGTGAAGCCTATAATTGCATTTCTAATAAGTTCCCAAGGGATGCTGATGCTGCTGGTCTAGGGGCCACTTTGGGAACTACTGCCCTTCATGACACAACTAGAAAGCAGCAGGGCTAGTCCCTATGACTAATCTTCCCACTATGTCTTGAAGCATAGGGATATTTGACACCAAGCTCAACAGTCAGGAACATGCCACCAAATATGTATCACCTCTCTCAACAGCTCACAGATAGATCTGTAGTCCAGATCTCTATCCCATTATTCAACCTGTTCTCTATTATTTTTAGTCCATACCACACTGAAAGTAACAAGCTTTTAAGTTTGCAAACATACATAAACGATTTCTTCCTTTCTTTTACTGGTCTACCAGTGAACCTTCTCAAACTCTGAAAGGTATAATTCTTTTTTCCTGAGACAGTGTCTTGCTCTGTTGCCCAGGCTGGAGTGCAGTGGCGAGATCTTGGCTCACTGCAACCTCCGCCTCCCAGGTACGAGTGATTCTCCTGCCTCAGCTTCCTGAGTAGCTGGGATTATAGGCGTGCACTACCACACCTGGCTAACTTTTGTATTTTTAGTAAGGAGGGGGTTTCACCATTTTGGTCAGGCTGATCTCGAACTCCTGACCTTGTGATCTGCCTGCCTCGGCCTCCAAAAGTGCTGGGATTACAGGCATCAGAGAGGTATAATTCTTAAAAGTGGGGGAAAATATCCAACTGTATTTGCCATCTTCCCTTTATGATTTTACAGATTTTCACTTTTTCCCCTCTTACTGAAGGATTCAAGTTATTCCAACCAGGAACCCCTACTCTTCAATTTCTTAATCATCCTAGAGACCATACTCTGGACCATTTTCTATTCATACACCCACTTGAGTTGCTCCAAGAGCTGGGCACTCTGATTTCAAGACTCACCATCAGGGTTTTGATAAGAAGAAAACATTCTGGTTTGGTTTTAGTACACTTCCTGATCATGCTCAGATAGCTTTATTAGCCCTGGTAGTTGTTAGACTTCAGAAAACCAATGTACACATGCCTAGCCTTCTTGAGCTGCCAGTGATTATCCTTTCAGTACAGTGAAGAGCATGAATGGCATATGCGTGACACACATTCTTCACTCTTGCATCTATGCAGACATCGCTAATCAACCACAGCATGTTTTCTCTAAGCCCCATCTAAGAACAGTATATAGCACAATATTTCAAGAGCACAAGGCCATGGCAGATGTTCTGCACCTCCTGTGACATTGGCTCTAGTTTCCAGTAAATGGAAACCTCTGTCTTTGCTACCCTTGTCCTCCAGGAAAAAGAAAAAAAAAAAGAAAGAAACATAAAATATCCCACATCAACCTGCTTTGTTCCACCATTTTAGAGCTCATTTGTAAATAGAGCTTGGGTATTAGAAGGGAAGGTAGTAAATGTTTTTCAAGTTAATCATAAAGGTATCTTTACAAGTACATCTGCACTTTAAATAGGTACATATATGAAAAAGTGGGCCTAGGTTTTTCAACTTGAAAAGAAATTCTTTATCCCAATTTAATCTTTATCGTTTCCAGAAAACAGGGAATTATCGACACTACTTTCATCTTACTTGTTTTAAAGTTATGTTTTTAGAGAGAGGAAAGGTTATAATTTCATCAAATGCAGCTTAACAAAAAACTTTGTAGCTTTGTAGTTACGCAAGTCTGGATTCTAAACCTGGATGTTGGTGACTTTGAAGGTGACTTTGAAAGAAAAAATTGATCTCAGTTTCCTCATTTGAAAACAGGGATAATAATAATGATGGTTAACCAGGACAGCTGTGAGGATTAGAAAAAACATAATAAAAGACCTAGCATATCGCTTGGCCCAAAATAAGTAATAAGTGCTAGTTAATATAATTATTACTATATTTTAAGGTTTGGAATTACCACTTTATTTAAAAAATGGAATCTATCACTCTTAGTTGGTATTTAAGTTTTGAGTAATATTCTAATGGATGTAAAAACTTATTTTTTTCTGAGATTATTGGGAAATATGACATGATCAATAACTTCTCTCAATTTTTTCTTTAGCTGGAAAATAAATGTGCAAAGGTACTAAAGGCAAAATTCTCCTATGTAATCAAGCAGTAAAAGCTGTAATAAATCAGAGGTTTTTTCTTTTTATATCACTTTGAAAAGGGAAATTATGCTAAAATTTTTTCAGCATTTAATTCTCTACCAGGAACATACTAAGCACTTTATTTGTCTTATGTCACTTAATTCTGGTAACTTTACAAAGCAGGTATTAATATTTTTCCCACACCACCTTCTAGATTGGGAGACAGGCTCAGAGAAGTTCAGGATTTGCCAAGCTTGCATAGCCTTTAAGGAGAGGAGCAGATTTAAATCTGAATTGAAGATAAGCTCTGGGACTTTACACTATTTCTGGAAAACAGAAATAAAGCCAGCAGCCATCCCATGTGCCTTGACAGCTACTGCCCACAGGTAGTTAATAGAGACCCTGGTACCTCATTGACGCATTTGCTCACATTTCTTTTCAAAAACATGGGAAGACAAATGCCCTCAGCTGCAGGCTTTTTCTTTTCCACTTTGAGATGCCAAATATGAATGGCTTATCTGAGGGCCATAATAGGTAAGTCCCCAATATTTAAAAACTTCCTTTCTTCCTGGTGGCTGTGGCAGAATTCCCTGGCTGGGCCAAGCAATCAAGGAGATGCTAAAGAAAGTGATCCACAAGCAATTCTCATTGGTCCCCAGACACCGAGGCCCCACTGTGTCATCACATCAGGCATTAGGGTGCCATCGCTTCAGCTGCACCAGAAAGCAGAAGCCTGCCATTGTCGGCACATTGTCAAGGGATGTGACCCGGGTGTGGGCCACAAAATGAACACCTTACTCTTAGCTGGAGCTTCTCCCTTAATTCATTACTGCTCTCCAGTCCTGGTGAACTGGGCTAGATAATGTAGAAACACCAGAATCTTACTGCTGCTTTTAAAGAATGGTTATGGCCGGGCGCGGTGGCTCACGCCTGTAATCTCAGCACTTTGAGAAGCCAAGGTGGGCGGATCACCTGAGGTTGGGAGTTGGAGGCCAGCCTGATCAACATGGAGGACCCCCATCTCTAGTAAAAAAAAAATACAAAATTAGCCAGGTACAGTGGCAGATGCCTATAATCCCTGCTACTCAGGAAGCTGAGACAGGAGAATTGCTTGAACCCAGGGGGTGGGGGTTGTGGTGAGCTGAGGTCGCACCATTGCACTCCAGCCTGTACAACAAGAGCGAACATCATGAAAAAAATAAAAAAAGAATGGTTATTTCTTTTCCTGAGAAAGAACTAACAACTCTGGCCTGTGTCTCTGTGAAGATGAACATTTTAATCACCAAAGGCCTGAACTAAGGATCCATTAGACACATCACTAGGGATATATTCACATAATAAAATGACTCGTCGCCAAGTTTTCTTTAAATACTGAACTCTGCAGCAAACCACGACCGTGGCACGTGTATACCTAAGTAACAAAGCTGCATGATCTGCACATGTACCCCAGAACTTAATGTATAATAAATAAATTTAAAAAATATATATGAACTATGTGGCATCCATCAACTAATTTATACTTGCACTATCGTAATAGTTCACCATGTGTCTACTTTGTACAGAATGTTATGCTGGGTGCTGCATCCTGCAGCAAAAAGAAGATGGAACTGGCTTTGTTCAGGCCACATGTGCTATGCCTGTGAAATGCCTTCTAAAGTTCTATTAGGGACTCCTTCCTGCCTCTAGCTGTCAAGGTCAAGCAACGCCAGTCTCATCCCATGAATGTTTACCTTTCCTTCCATTTGTTCCACAAGATATAGCAAAAGATGAAGGGAACATGGATAATCAACTCCACAGCCAAATGCTTGAGATAATTATGGACTTTTCATCCTTAGTTCCTTCCTTTCTAACCTGGATTTACCTGATGAGTCTATTGTATCACACTGAGGCTGTGATACTGAGGGAACTAACGTTTAAAGCATACTGCTCTATGTCCTAGCATTGTGGGAGGGGCTTACATGTAGCATGCCATTTTATACCCTTAAAAATCCCATGAAGCAGGTACCTTTATATGTTTTACAGATGAGAAGACAGGCTCAGAGAGACTAAAAATATGCTAATAAAAGTCATGATCAGGATTCAAATTCAGGTCTAACAGAGACTAATACTTCTGTTCCTTGTAACTACTCCATCCCCTTTCCAAACTAGCTGGTCTTCCCAGGGCACCCCATTTATTAAGGGGAAAATACCATTATGTGAATGAAAGTATGGATAGAATTAGTTCATTAGAATAAAAAAGCATGAATTTTTTTCTTTAAGATATAACACCCAAAAGGTCCTGTCTGCAGAGATCTTTGCAGATTACACACGTCCTTATGCCTACAAAGATTTGTTGAAGAAAAAGCTTGTGAATCACTCTCCACACATAGGGGTGTAAGGCAGGCTAACAATTTGGTCTTCTGGCAAAATGACATCATGTAAATATCTGTATACTCTCTATGTAAAGGTGAGGCAGAGCACTGGTAGGGAGGGCAGAAAGAAGCCCTGTGGTGTCATGGCCCTGCTGATACACCCTTTAAAGCTTGGCACTTAGATCGCCTGCCTCTCCAAGCTCTACTGACCTCCACAATACAGGCTTCGTTGACTAAGGAAGGATGCCATGGCTACAAATGACCAATGACCAGTGGAATAAAAGCAGCAGATGCCTCATCCCCACTCTATTTTGGCCTTTGTTTTTAATCTCTGGCTTGCACTGAATATCACATATCCCATTTCCCTTCCAGCTGGTGCTGAGATGTAACAACTTGTCACCTGAGATATAGCCCATTAAAATTACATAGCACAGGTAATGGAGAATCCAGTGCAGGTCAGGACAGCTGGTAATCAGCCATAACTTACAGAGCAGTCTTCAGACCTTCTAAGCGCCTCCTACCTTTACTCCCCTTCCTCTCTGCTTCACCTTTACCTCTGTAAAGGTAGCCCTTTACACAGGTATCTCTTGGGATTTGTTGAGCAGGGATGGTTATTTGAAACTGTTCTCATTAATTCAGCCACCAAGTCCTTGCAGTATTGGGTTCACAAGGTTGTGGTGGGGGAACTGTGACCATCAGAATAGCCCGTCAATTCTCCAGCAGCCAGTGGGGATGCAGGGAGTAGATTCAGCTGTTTCTGCATGTTTTCCATCAATAGACAACTGAATAAACTTGGGTAGCATCAGAATCTAGAGAAGGCAAGTTCTCAAAAGAAACAAAATCTTAGAGTTCCTACAAGTAAGAGCCCAGTAGACTTTGCATCAGGTGAGGGACCTGGCTGTTTTCAAGTCCCTCCCTGTGATGGTTTTGTCTCAGGGCATCCCTGAGAGAGGATTTAACAGGTACTGCAACAGACATGGCAAGCCAATAGTGATGTTGACAGACATGAAATGATGGAGTCATTGAGAGCATAGGCTTTGGAGCTGGGATACCTTGGGTCTGAATCTCAGTTCTGCCTGTGTGACCTGGGGCAAGTTACTTAATCCTTTTGAGTCTTAGTTTTCTCATCTGTGAAATGGAAGTTATACTACCTGCCTTACAGGGTTATTTTACAGATTAAATGACATAATGCAGGTGTATTTGTCTGTTTTCATGATGCTGATACAGACATCCCTGAGACTGGGTAATTTATAAAGAAAAAGAGTTCTAATGGACTCACAGTTCCATGTGACTGGGGAGGCCTCACAATCATGACGGAAGGCAAAAGGCACGTTTTACATGGCAACAGACAAGAGAGAATGAGAACCAAGTGAAAGGGGTTTCCCCTTATAAAACCATCAGATCTTGTGA